TCCTTTAAGCGGGCTGGAGAGGGTTTCTGATGGGAGCATCATGAAGAAGACAACCAGGGAATCAAGCCCAGCCAACATGGGTTTAGGAAGGGAAGGTCCTGCATGACCAGTCTCATCTCCCTCTATGACTGGATGGCCTGCCTAGCGGATGAGGAAAGGGCTGTGGATGTTCTCTGCCTCGATTTCAGCAAAGCCTTTGACACAGTCTCCCACAACATCCTCCTGAAAAAGCTGGCAGCCCACGGCTTGGATGGGTGCACCATCTAACTCCTCAGCCTGGGGCCAGGTCCATGGTGGAGCAGATGCTCACCAGAGTGCACAGAGAAGTAAATTGAATCAATGCGGTTTTTCTCCCCCAATTTCTCCTCCTTTTTTAAAGGCTGGTGTGGTTTAGGACCAGAGGGTGGCTAAACCACCCAGGGCTGCTCCCTCACTCTGACAAGGGCTCTAGCAGCTGGTCAGTACTGTACTGGATGGTACTGGATGAGGTGGCCACTCCTAACACTAAGCAGGTGACCCTTTTTGGTTTCCCAACAGGTGACGAGACAGAGAGTGAAGAGAAGAAGGAGTCTCAAGCCATGAAAAATGTCAGGGTGAAGACAGAAGAGGACACGGTGAAGCTGCAATTTGACACGTTGAAGGTGGACGAGGTCACGGTGAAGGTGGACGAGGTCATGGTGAAGGTGGAAGAACCCACAGAGGACCCCCAGAACATCAAGGTGGAAATGGACCAGGAAGTTCAACATCAGCCAGATGATGAGCAAGATAGCCAAGAAGTCTTCCTTCAGACAAGACCCCACAAATGCTCTTTCAAAGGAGAGTATGCTGAGAAACATCTGGAAGATGGTGCCCAACCAAGGAGTGGCTTCAGACAGAAGGTGTACACCTGTGGGGACTGCCAGAAGATCTTCACCTGGAAGAGCAACCTGATCCGTCACCAGCGGATCCACATGGGAGAGAAACCCTTCAAGTGCCCGGAGTGTGGGAAACTCTTCGCCTTCCGCTCGGACCTCATCAACCACCAACGCATCCACACGGGAGAGAAGCCCTTCAAGTGCCTGGAGTGCGGGAGGAGCTTCGTGCGGAGCACGGCCCTCCTGCAGCACGGCAGGTCACACACCAAGGAGAAGCCCTTTCCTTGCACCACGTGCGGGAAACGCTTCTCCTGCCGCTCAGACCTTGCCAACCACCAACGCATCCACACAGGAGAGAAGCCCTTCAAGTGCCTGGAGTGCGGGAAGAGCTTCCTCAAGAGCACGTTCCTCCTGCAGCACAGGTTGACGCACACCAAGGAGAAGCCCTTTCCCTGCACCACGTGTGGGAAACGCTTCGCCTGGCGCCGTGTCCTTGTCACCCACCAACGCATCCACACGGGAGAGAAGCCGTATGCCTGCCCCCACTGCGAGAAGACCTTCCGGAGCGGGTCTCATCTCATCAGGCATCAGCGAGCCCTCCACAGCGGTGAGTCCTTGGAGGGGGCGTAGCATGAGATGGCCTCTGTCTTGGTGGAGCTCTGAGTGGGTGTTGGGGTTGAAACCCACCGAGGTGACACCACTCCCATGGGGCCACTTAGTTGCCCCTAGCCAGCCTCGGTGAGATGGGGAGGATGAAATGTAACCAAATGCTGGAGGGTGGAGACAAGGACGGGGAGGACTCTCTCACCACGTGTGGTCACAGGCAAAGAACGGAGTTGACTTGGGAAAAAAAAACAACACGAATTTAATTTAAACAACAAACCCACCAGTTTACCCATCAGAGTAGGAAAATGAGAAATGAAACCAGATTGTAAACCCCCTCCCCTTAGCCCTCCCTTCTACCCATGCTTAACTTCACTCCTCATCTTCCCCACCTCCTCTTCCTTGGCAGTGCAGGGGGAGACAGGGAATGGGGTTTGGGGTCAGTCCATCACGTGTTGTCTCTGCTGCTCCTTCCTCCTCATGGGAGGACTCCTCACACTCCTCCCCGACTCCAAAGTGGAGTCCCTCCCACGAGAGACAGAGCTCCACGAACTGCCCCATTGTGAGTCCCTCCCATGGGCTGTGGGTGAGCATCTGCCCCACCTCCAGGGACTGCAGGCCCACCTCGGCCCAGGCGCAGCTCCAAAGGGAAGGTCCACACCTGTGAGGACTGCAAGAAGATCTTCAGCTGCCGGGGCAGCCTGATGCGTCACCAACGGATCCACACAGGAGAGAAGCCCTTCAAGTGTCCAGAGTGTGAGAGGAGCTTTGCCGATAGATCGACCCTCCTGCAGCACTGGAGGACACACAGCAAGGAGAAGCCCTTTCTCTGCACCGTGTGTGGGGAGTCCTTCACGTGGCACTTTGAGGTGGTCAACCACCGCCGCACCCACAAAGAAGAGAAGCCGATCGCCTGCCCGCACTGCGAGCAGACCTTCGGCCAGAGGTGTCACCTTCTGAGGCATCTGCGAGCCTTCCACAAAGGTGAGTCCTCCTCCTTCTCCTCCTCGGGGCTTTGAGCGTGACGTGTCCCTGCCTTGGCAGAGCTGTGGGTGGGGATGGGCCAGAGAAATGTGTGGTGGGGCTGTGTTGGGCTTCCTGCTCCCAGTGGGGCAGGGCTGATGGGGTGGAAGATGTCCCTGGGGATGGATTTGCCCCTTCCCCAGGTTGGGTTGTTCCGTTGGTGGGGATAGTTGTGCTCTGAGTAGGAGGTTGCACTGGTGGAAACTCCTCCATGCAGCGGGCTTCATGGCTTTGTGAGAGCAAAGGGTGTCCAAGAACATTAGCCAGGTTAATTTGTGGACACAAAGGCCCCTCTTCACCTTCCCTCCAGCGCTGCAAAGCTCCCCCTGGGTCTTCCCAACTTGCGTTACCCGAACAGATACTTGGGTCTCACCTCTCTCCTTGTTGGTGGAGGTCCTGCTGGTGCAATGGCTTTCCCTTTCTCAAGCAGACATCGAGAGCACCCAGCTGAAGCCAGAACCACAGCCCCAGGTGCTGGAGGAGAAGTTGGAGGGCCAGAAGGAGCAGACCCCAACAAGAGAAGGGAATGGCGAGAGGAACACCCCACCAGCCGTGAGCAAGCAGACGACCTTTACCAAGCAGGGGATCTATAAATGCCCAGAGTGTGAGAAGACTTTTTTCTGGAATAACAGCATGAGACGACACCAACGAATCCACACGGGAGAACGACCCTACGAATGCCCGTACTGCAAAAAGACCTTCACGAGTGGCAGTGCCTTAATCCGCCACCAAAGGACCCATCAGAGCGAGAGACCATATGAGTGCCTCGAGTGTGGGGAGTGCTTCATCTATGGCTCGAGTCTTTCCAGGCATCGGTTGACCCACACTGGAGAAAAACCCTTTTCCTGCTCCGATTGCGGGAGATGCTTTGCTGAGAAGGGGAAGCTCGTGGTTCACCAGCGGATCCACACCGGGGAGAGGCCATACAGCTGCCCCAAGTGCCCGAAAGCCTTTCGGGACCGCTCCAAGCTCACCGTCCACCTGAAGACTCATGAGCCGAAGACCTTCCACGTATGCGCAGTCTGTGGGAAGTCTTTCAGAGAGGCTGCCGAGTGTCTTTTCCATGAGAAGACCCACATGGAGGAGGTGCAGGTGGGCCAGGGAGCTTCTTGAGGGGGTGATGTACCATGGAGTTAGGAGGTTGTTGCCTCCCTAGGAAAGTCCTTCCACCCTTTTGGTTTCATCCCTTGAGCCTGATGATCTTCAGGGGTCATCTTCAGAGATGCCTTGGGGTGCTCATGCCCCACCAAGGGTCTTTTTAGGGGATGAGGGATTGTGTGAACACTCTCAGCTTTTAAACATGAGTGCCTGCACATAGATGTAAAGAAGGAGATTTGCCAGCAGATGCCTTGTGTTCACAGAATCACAGAATGTCAGGGG